ACACACACACACACACACACACACTCGTTATGCAAAGGACAAACAAATGTTTGAGTTTCCAGAATTCAGTAAGTCTAATTTCTTCTCTTTAAGGCTTAACTCCAGTGGGAAGTCAAGTTAAATGATGGCTACATTTTCAACTTGGATATTTAATATCTGTCATTCCTGCTCCTTTTTGTTCAAGTCCTGGAATTTGAACTCAGGGCCTGGGAGCCGAAGCTGAGCTTTTGTACTCAAGGCTACTTGAGTACTTGAACCACAACACGACTTCTGGCTTTCTGGTGGTTAAATGGAGATGAGTCTTCTTTGCCTAGACAGATTTTCAGATCTCAGACTCCGGAAGAGCTAGGATTGTAAATGTGAGCGAAGGGTTTGAAGCTTCCATTCTTTTTTTTTTTAATTGTGAAAATACCGTACAGGGGTTACAATTACATGGGCAAGGTAATGAGTACACTTCTTATCAAGCATTGTTGCCTCCTCCTTTGTTTCCCCTTCCCATTTTTCCCCCCTCTTCCCCCTCCCCCCCCAAGAGTTGTAAAGTTCGTTTTTCGACATAACGTCTTATACATTTCATTGTTGCAATGGGTCCACCTGTATCCCTATTTAAACTATTTGTTTTTTTTTTTTCCCTTCCCCTCCACAAATTATACCAACATCAAATACAGTGAAAGCAGGGCTTATACCGTGGGGGAAGGACATACAAAGCAACACAGAAATCATCTTATAAATATGTTAGAAACAATCACAAGTAAGAAAAAACATTTTCAGCTTCTATTCTTTACAAATAAAGTCTTATTACAAGATCATATTTATTTGGGCAGTAGTATTTTTTTTTTTTTTTTGGTCAGTCGTGGGGCTTGAACTCTGGGCCTGGGCGCTGTCTCTCAGCTCTTCAGCTCAAAGCGAGCGTTCTACCACTTGAGCTACAGCTCCACTTCCGGTTTTCTTGTGGTTTATTGGAGATAGGAGTCTCACGGTCTCTCCTGCCCGGGCTGGCTTTGAACCGCGATCCTCAGATCTCAGCCTCCTGAGTAGCTAGGATTACAGGCGTGAGCCACCAGTGCCCGGCTTGGGCAGTAGTATTTCATGCCTAGATGCTGTCCCTGAGCTTTTTCACTCAAGGCTAGTGCTGTACCACTTTGAGCCACAGCATCACTAACAGTTTTCTGGTGTTTAACTGGAGATAAGAGTCTCACAGCCAGGTGTGTAAGTTGGGGGGGGGGGGTGTCAGTGGCTCATGCCTATAGTAATCCTAGCTGCTCAGGAGGCAAAGATCTGAGGATGGTGGTTCAAAGCCAGCCGGGGCAGGAAAGTCTGTGAGACTCTTATCTCCAGTTAACCACCAGAAAACCGGAAGTGGCACTATGGCTCAAGTGCCTTGAGCTGAAAGAGCTCAGAGATAGCGCCCAATCCCAGAATTCAAGACCCATGACTGAAAAAAAAAAAGTCTCACAGAGTTTGCTGCCTAGGCTGACTTCAAACTGTAATCCTCAGATATTAGCCTCCTGAATAGCTAGGATTATAGGATTATAGCCACCAATACCCAGCCAATTTAATGATTTTTAAAACTCTGAATTTTGGCTAGGCGCCAGTGGCTCACATGTGTAATCCTAGCTACTCAAGAGGTGGAGATCTGAGGAGTGAGGTTCAAAGCCAGCCCAGGCAGGAAAAGTCCATGAGACTCATCTCCAATTAACCACTGGTTGTAACACTGTGGCTCAAGTGGCATAGTGTTAGCCTTGAGCTGATGAGCTGCAGGACAGTGCACCCTCTGAGTTTGGAGTCAGAGAGTCTCAGTCTACTACAGTTCCACTACTTAGCAGGCACAAAGTGTGTGCATGTTACATAATCTTCCAATGCTTCTGTTTTCTATCTTTATCGACTCATAAGGCTGCTGCAAGATTTAAATAAATATAGGACTGAAGTAAAACGCCTGCCTAACAAACCACAAGGCCCTAGGTTCATTCGAAGAGAATGGCTTGTTAAAATGATTCTCTTAAACCAGGCATCAGTGGCTCATGGCTGTAATCCTAGCTACTCAGGAGGCTGAGATATGAGGATCACAGTTCAAAGCCAGCCCAGGCAGGAAAGTCTGTGAGACTCTTATCTCCAATTAACCACCAGAAAACTGGAAGTGGTGCTGTGGCTCAAGTGGCAGAGTGATAGCAGAAGAGTGGAGGGACAGCTCCTAGGCCCAGAGTTCAAGCCCCACAACTGACAAAAAAACCCAAAAACTCTTTAAATAGGAGGTAAAGATAAGGCAAGAAGAAAAGTTAATGAAGGCTGGGAATGTGGCTTAGTAGAGTGCTTGATAGAGTGCTGTCCTAGCATGCATGAAGCCTGGGTTTCATTCCTCAGTACCATATACACAGAAGCAGTCCTGTGGCTCAAGTGGTAGAGTGCTAGCCTTGAGCAAAAGAAGCTCAGGGACAGTGCCCAGGCCTTGAGTTCAAGCCCCAGAAAGAGGAAAAAAAAAAAAGAGAGGCACTTGTCTGCTTCTAACATAGCGCCTCCAGCAGGAAATGAATGTACCCAACACACTTTAGTTGAACTGGATGGCCAATCCATTTCCATCCAAGAGGCCTTATGTTTTTTTTGTGTGTGTGTGCCAGTTCTGGGGTTTGAACTCAAGGCCTGGGCACTGTCCCTCAGCTTCTTTTGGCTCAAGGTTAGCCCTCCACAGCGCCACTTCTAGCTTTTTCTGTTTATATGTGGCACTGAGGAATCTAACTTGTGGCTTCATGCATGCTAGGAAAGTACTCTACCATTAAGCCACATTGCCAGCCCCATGAAAACTCTTTTTTTTTTGGTCGGTCGAGGGGCTTGAACTCTGGGCTTGGGCGCTGTTCCCTTAGCTCTTCAGCTCAAGGCGAGCGCTCTACCACTTGAGCCACAGCACCATTTCTGGTTTTCTAGTGGTTTATTGGAGATAAGAGTCTCATGGATTTTTCCTGCCCGGGCTGGCTTTGAACCACGATCCTCAGATCTCAATCTCAGCCTCCTGAGTAGCTAGGATTACAGGCATGAGTTGCAGGCACCTGGGCCCATGAAAACTCTTAAACTCTTGTTTGCTTTAAGGTTTAGAAAGGTATCTGTAATTAAATTAATAAAATGATGACATATTAATTCATACCTGTCTAAATTTAGCTCTTGCTTCTTTTTCTTTCATTCTTCCATGTGCAACCAAATAGTCAAATACTTCACCTATAATTGACAGAAATAAAAGTAAGCAGAAGTTCTACATCTAAGTATTAGTCTTCTTATAAATTGTTTCCTTTGATCAGTGCTTTAATTTTTATTTTTAATGTAGGTATGAAGAATATGTGGAATATGAACTAAAGTAAGTATAAAGTTTAACTAAAAGCATTAAGGTTCACCAATAAAATCTCCACCCCCCCCCTTCCGCCCCCCAGGTGTGGGACTTGAACTTTGGGCCTGGGCACTGTCCCTCAGTTCTTCAGCTCAAAGCTAGGGCTCTACCACTTGAGCCACAGCGCCACTTCTGGTCTTCTGGTGGTTTATTGGAGGTAAGAGTCACACGGACTTTCCTGCCTGGGCTGGCTTTGAACTGTGATCCTCAGATCTCAGCCCCTGGTGGCATGAGCCACCAGCCCCCAGTACCAATAAAATCTTTTTTTTTTTTTTTGGCAGTTGTGGGGCTTGAACTCTGGGCCTGGGCACTTGTCCCTCAGCTCTTCAGCTCAAGGCGAGCGCTCTACCACTTGAGCTATAGCACCACTCCAATAAAATCTTAAACTGAAAAAAAAAAGCCTTAAATTCCTGAGTTAGACATGGTAATGTACCTCTATAATTCCAGGACTCAGGAAGGAAAAAGATATTGAGTTTGAAGCCAGCTTGAGCTATATAGCAAGTTCAAGGCCAGACTGAGCTATATAAGTAAGACCTTGCCTCAAAAAACAAAAACAAAAGCCAGGTGCCGGGGGCTCATGCCTGTAATCCTAGCTGCTCAGGAAGCTGAGATCTGAGAATTGTGGTTCAAAGCCAGCCTGGGCTGGAGACTCTTATCTCCAATAAACCACCAGAAAACCTGAAGTGGCGCTGTGGCTCAAATGGTAGAGCACTAGCCTTGAGTTGAAGAGCTGAGGGAGCACCAGGCCCAGAGTTCAAGCTCCATGACTGACAAAAAAAAAAAAAGAAGGAAAATGCACCCTAGTAAGCACGAGGCTCTGAGTTCAAGCCCCAGATAGGCTGGGAATGTAGCTTAATGGTAAAGTGCTTGCCTAGCACGCATGAAATCCTGGGTTCAGTTCCTTAGTACTACATAAACAGAAAAGGCTGGAAGTGGTGCTGTGGCTCAGGTGGTAGAGTGCTAGCTAGCCTTGAGCAAAAGAGGCCCAGGGACAGTGCCCAGGCCCTGAGTACAAATCCCAGGACTGGCAAAAACAAAACAGTACCATCAAAGAAAAAAAAAAATTGGAGGCTGAGAAGGTGGCTCAGTGGTAGAATGCTTGCCTTGCATGCATGAGGCCCTGGGTTTGAATTCTCAGCACCACATAAGCAGAAAAAGCCAGCAGTGGTGCTGTGGCTCAAGTGGTAGAGTGCTAGCCTTGTGCTGAAAAGTTCAGGGACAGCACCCAGGCCCAGAGTTCAGGCCCTACGACTGACCCCCCCCCCAAAAAAAATTTCTCATGTTCACACTACTTTAATTGTAAGGGGTATGTGGTTTCAATATGCCTTAACAACTAAGTAATGAAAATGGATAGTTAAGATGGATTAAAGTCTATTAAAGGAGGATACCCTTCTTGTAGGCTAATGATCACAAAGCATTTCCTAAGTACATTTGTTATTCAACTATTCACCACATACTGATTGCCTACTAATGACAGGTACTATTTCACAGCTCTGGAAAATACAGTAATGAACTAGCACAATCTCTTTTCTGTAATTTCTCTTCTAGCAGGGGAGGTAAACAACAAACAAGTAGTATGTTAAATGCCTGTGGGTGTTATGCAGAAAGAGGGAAGAAAACTTTAAAGTGCATGCATAACTGTGCTTGTTTGTACTTTGCAGACCATGGAAGGGAGAGGCCGATGTAGCTGTTTGAGTAAGCAGTCACTAGTGAGAGCAAACATCAAGGCCGCCATGGGTCAGAAAGAGCAAGGGGGTGAGGACAAGGAATGAGATATGGGAAGTGTACAGCAGGCTTCAAGAAGATATCTAGCTTTACTCTAAAGGAAATGGGAAACTGAGAAAAGGAAATTACTTACTCTTAAGGATCTGGCTGACAGAGGAGAGTTAGGATGAGGGCAAAGAAACAGGAGAGTGTGTTGGAAGGGAACCTGAGGGGAACGTGTACAGTAGTCAAGCATAAATATGAGCATAGAATGATGGTGAGCAGTGGGCTCAGGACATGGTGACGGTGCAATGAAGGTGAAGGTGAGGTGAAGGTGAGGTGAAGGTGAGGGTGAAGTGAAGGTGAGGTGAAGGTGTGGTGAAGGTGAAGTGAAGGTGAGGTGAAGGTGAGGTAAAGGTGAGGTAAAGGTGAGGTGAAGGTGAAGTGAAGTTGAAGTGAAGGTGAGGTGAAGGTGAGGTGAAGGTGAGGTGAAGTGAAGGTGAGGTAAAGGTGAGGTGAAGTGAAGTTGAAGTGAAGGTGAGGTGAAGGTGAGGTGAAGGTGAGGTGAAGTGAAGGTGAGGTGAAGGTGAG